TGCACTGATTATTTTAACAGCCTTCAATACTAGAATCTTTAATTAAGAAATTCCAAATATAATAATAAACTCATTAACTTACTTAAATATAATAATGACATCAAACCAATACATTAATGCTAATTTTTGTAATAAAAGAATATTAATAATATTGTTGATAGTACCAGTGGTATTTTTTGATGGCATTAACGTGCTGGTCCAAGTATATAGTATTTAAGACCTGACGTTAGTTTTTTTATTTGTATCACTGAAGACGAAACAAGCTTGCGGCCTTCTTAATGGAAATGGTAATAGTATATACACGAGATACTCGATAAACATATTCTGACATCCATGGCGCCTTTCATTCTCTGTTGCTTCTGACAACAAAATATATTTATGCTTCTTTTAAAAGAATCTATTTATCATTGATCAAAACTAGTGAATCCATTTGAATATAGGTATGAGGTGATAATTAACTTATATGTATAAATGGAAGTCAATTGTCGATAATAACAAAACGTATTATTTCCAAAATATATTTCGCACTTCGCACTGTTGCTTACATAACATAATAATCTAAACGACCGGAGATTTGCATTTAATTATTCAAGTGGGCAGAATCCGGTTTAATTTAATTAAGACTCAAGCTAATTTAACTATTAATATGTACCTGTTTTATGTTTACAACTTTCAGTTGTGAATATAGCTGGTTTTGAGTAATGTGCTTCAATAATTTTTAAGTAATCTTATATTTGTTTTATCAAATTGTACTTAAAAAACTGAGAATACATGTTCTTCCTGACTTTACTCCCATAAGGAATAGTCGGGGGTGTTTTGTTGATCTTTTAATTTACCCGCATTTTGTCGGCTACATTCTAATCTAATTTCTTCCAATATTAGAGGGTGAATCGGATTAACTCGATTTGTAATATGCTTACTGTTATGGATGAGTTAATTGATAATTTATGAACTCTGAGATATTATGTTACGGTTGGGTCGTAAGACACTGTAATATTTGGTAAATCCATAAAAATCTAACATTAGTAATGACGGCAACTGTAAAACTTATCACTTAGATATGAGGTCACTGTCATCATCTCAGATAATTTATGGTTCGTTGCTCAACATTGTCTATGTGGAGGAAAAATTATGTTGTTCCTTATGGAATGGGTTTCAAGGATGTATATATTTATCAGTTCTTTACAATCTTGAAGAGATCACTGTTTCATCTAAGTTTGTCCTATATTATGCATCTCCTATTTTGAAGCTTGATTCGATTTTGATTGATATACGGATAGATAACACTGCTATAATAATAGGTTTGGATCCTGGCCCTGTGGCTTTATTTATATTATTAGTAATTCTATGTTTTTGATATGAGTACGATCCTTGAAACGTGCCAAAGTCCTTGTTTCTGTCATGAATTATACCAGTTGGAGTCTTTTGTTGATTTTATAGTTCAATTGAACTTTATTGCCACCATTTGAAAGCTTTAAGGGTCGCTAATTTATCGGTTACAGTGAACTGTGCTATATGCAGAATAAATATTTCTTACTCTTCATCTGGAGCGTGTCAAGAGAAAGTGATTTCCACAAACATTACTCCTGTATGTAGGATAGTAATGAATTTTATGAATACTATACCTTTCCTATTGTCTTTAAGAGTTCTTTGGATTTGCTTACAATTAACATATCGCTGTTGTAGTCAAGTGGAGTACAAGGTGTATGTTACAAAGTCGTGTTTAAATTGGAGATTAATCTCGAGTGCGCGGTGTCATCGGTAACAGGTATCTGCTCACTTACCTTGACCGCGCACGTTGTCCTCTCACTTACCTATAGAGTGATCATAGACGTCTTCAATGCACCCGCGCCACCACGCCACCGGGCCGCCGCTCTGCGCTGACGACGTGGGACCCTGCACTATGAGTTATGTCTGTGCTGTGCTTATGTTCCTTGATCACGAACTTGTTTACAGTCTTTGTTGGATTTGACTAACTATATCATAAATATAAAACAGTTCCCGGTCACCCCGCCAGTGTATATCGATGGCGGAGGTGGGGTTACCATTTCGTTTTGATTCTTTAAATTATCTAGGCAAATGTGTGAGGTATATTACGCTAGACAATTTTCCTTTTTTACTAAGCTGTAGGCAGAATAAGTGAGATCACAGAAGTCCCACGTAGGTACTGTGCTGTGATCTTATATTTATTTGTAATCTAATTAATACTGTATCATTATCGCGATTGATTGCGATCATTGGTGGTGATTAATGATAGTCAAACCCTTCAATAGTAAAAAAAAAAATTATTTAACTTTAAGAAAGCACAAACGTCTTGTTATGGTTTTAAAAAATTAAGATCCCTGTTGTACCCTATCAACCACTATGAACAATTTAAGATTTTGCTCAGAAAGAAACAGGGAAACATGGAAGGGCTTTATGAACGCTATAGAACTCAATACAATGATTTAAAAAAAAATGTCTGTTTGTCTATACTTTTGTTTTTGAACGTTAATCTCAGAAATGGCTTAACCGATTTGAATGCGGTTTTCACTGCGTTGCGGTTTGCTCCACTTAAAATTTATTGTTTGTTTTATTTAAATTGGTATATAAAAGAAAAGTTATGTCAATCTAAAAAATGTTATAAAATAACCGATCAGTTGAAGTGGCTGAAACTTTTTTTATATGAATTTTGGAAAATCAATCAATATATGATTGATTTTCCAAAATTCTGTCTAGTCGTGTGGCTTCAGGTGTGGGTCGGATCGCTAGTAAAAAAATATAGGTGAATTTAATAACCTGTTGTTTAAAGTTAAAACTGTTTATCTTTTATAACCTTAAAATTTGTATTACATTATTCATCACTTATATGAAATTTAAAACATATATCTAACCCTTGTGTTTTTGTGCTGCATTTTGATGTGGGTTGACGTTGACGTTATTCTTGATGTTTCGAGATTTGTTCATTTTGTAACGTTACTGAATCTTAAACGAGGCCATGGCGACGCTGGAAATTTTTCATCTTCCATATCGCTGTTTGTGTTTCGTAGGCAAACTCTAATTTAAATATAGGTATCTACTTTTGATGGGCCGTGTTGTAACGTTAGTTTATTCAATTCATGCCAATAGGTTGTCCGGCGTTTGTATGATATGATTCATTGCCACTCAATCGCACTGGAGATTAAATGAACCGCCAGTTATTGTCGTCTTGCTTCATGTCTGTACGTATGTCTCTTTTTGTATTGCCGATGACATTTTATCTTTTAGCTACAATAAACACTTATATTCGATACTAGCGGCCCGTCCCGGCGTCGCACGGGTGGACATTTTAACATTTCCCTTCACTGCTCTGCTCCTATTGATCGTAGCTTGATCAAAAGTATACTATAACCTGCCCAGGAGTATGAAGAATAATTGTACCAAGATTTGTTAAAATCCGTGTAGTAGTTTTTGTTTCTATTACGAACATACAGACAGATAGACAAAAATTTTACTGATTACATTTTTGGCATCAGTATCGATCACAAATCACCTTCTGATAGTTATTTTGGAAATATATTTCATGTACAGAATTGACCACTCTATAGATTTATTATAAGTATAGATTGGACTAGCCTTTTGCCCGCTACTACGTATGTGTGAATTTCAGAAATAGTAAAAACCAATGATATACGAGTATACCATTTCTAGACGGTATATCACGTTGAAACTTATTCCAGATTTTAAGTTAGATCTTCAGGTTACAATTGTTAAAATCTCATTTAATTTGGTGCAGTAGTTTTTTTTTTGTGTGACGCCAAAAAATTTGTTAATTGTTTTATTGAAAAATTTCGAAATAGGTTTTTTTTTTTAAATTGCTAGAAAATACAGAAATTCTGAAGATTTGTGTATTGTCTGTCTTAATTTGAAAAAAAGATAGTTGTTTATTTGCAAATAAACATTTTCATTTTAAAATTGTAATTATGTTACTATATCAGTTACATTGATTCAATCTGACGCACGAGTGTATCAGATTTGAAATTTGGCTGGATATCAAAGAGCTTTTAAAGTTTTTAGTTGTAAATGTACTATTGGTAGGAATTGTCTATTGACATTAGAGATAAAAAGGTTGCCTCACAAGTAGTTGGCTCTCATCCTGTTATCACTGGGACGATAGCGTTGCACCGATAGCTAGCTGAACAAGTTTATGTCTATTTCGGAATTCATTTGCCATTATACTTTATTTATCGTTAGACGTGAAAAAACGTTTGACTCATTCCTAAATATTTTGTTCGTATCGGGCAATTAGTTGCATAGTCTTGTCTGCAATTAGTTGCCGGCTTCGTAGTGCAGAGTGCGCTGTGGACGGTGTCGCTGGTCATCGGCCTCACCTGGTAAGTTTCGCAAGTCCAGTTAACCGTATGAGTCGTTCACATTAATATTCTACTGTTGCTGTTATTTGTGAACTTAACGCCTGTGTCCTCTATCCTTGTAGCATTGGAATTTTGGTATACATCAGCCTAGCTTATGTTTATTAAATTATTTCAATTATTCAACTATTTATTATTGATGATTCAACCAGTAATTAGAAGATTCAGTATAGAAATAGTAAACTTACCTTTCAAGTAATTACCTATGTAAGCTATGTACCAAATAGCAACCAATCTTTCGCGTTGAAATTGCTCTCTAAAAAGGAGGCAGATAGCGTATATAATTACGATTCCATTCTCTAATAAATTGAGGGTAAATTTTTAAATACACGTTTATTTGCGTATCTGCATGTATAATGATCTCAATTACTAGAAAATTGTAAGAAGTGAGCTTAAAAAAGCTCCTTCGAGAGACAAAGACATTCCGTTGCGTCGAGACGAGAGGGAATCTTAGGAGGAGGGCGTGAGGGCGTCGTGCAGACGACTCTCGTCGTGTGTAAATGCGTGCCGCACAAAAAACGGACAGACGGCCAATAAAAACCCCGTGTGGGGAGAAGCCGAGGGGCGGGTGAAGCGGGTGCATCGCGCTATGCTGGCAATTTCTCGTTGCAGTTTATCTTTGCCGCGCTGCATGTGCGCACGCAGCCTCCTCACGAACCCCCGTTACAGGCTCGCTAGTTAGTGAACGACTCCATGAAAAAGTATGCGTATGAGTTGCCACCTGCATACTGATTCAGTTTTCTGTTTTCGCGATACATTATTTTTTACGTTGTTCTGTTATCCGGAAGCGTTACAGTCATCAATTTCGCGTGCATATCCTTTCCGCTCGGGCGGTCGCAACTTGGACTGGGGGTTGTGAAGTTAATTACGATAGTTGCGACTAGATAATGACGTGAGTTGAGTAACATAAAATCGAGAACTACTAAGTAACGTTGGTAACGATGGCTTTACCCTAGTTTACATGACTGTTTTTCAATTGTTACAGGGCGAGTGTTGTCGCGTCATTCTCTGCGCGCGGGGAAGCGGGCCCCACGGACCCTCCGGGCGAGGACATCGCCATGAAACGTTTTGAAGCTACACCAGAGGAACAGGAACGATTAGCTACTGGAAATAACAATGGATCCCTTGACTGCAAGATACCAGCGCCCCAGCCAGTCGGGCCTCGTTCGGTTTTTCACTCGACACGAGTATTCATGCTCGTTTTCCTCTCTGGATGGGTACTCCAGGGCATGTTTCTTACATATTTTGTAAGTGTGACGACGACGATAGAGAAACTATTCAAAGTGGAATCAAAAACGACAGGAATACTTTTAGCGGCTACAGAAATCGGTCAAATATGTACATCCCTATTTCTTACGTATCTGGCTGGTCGTGGACATCGGCCGCGGTGGATTGCGTGTATGATGCTAGTGTTGGCGGTCGGCGTGGTCGGCTGTGTGGTGCCCCACATGTTGTACGGCACGCGATTGCTTGATGTACACTTGGACGCACACAGATCGGGTCCAGCGCCGGTTTGCTCGTACTACGGCAATGCCACTAACTGTGACGCTGCTCATTACAAGAGTTCAGAAACACGGTCGTCGATAACGGCCGTCGTGATCCCATGGCTCTTCATTTGTCTATTGGTGGTCGGCGTCGGACAGACTGGGATTGCTACGCTTGGCATACCGTATGTCGATGACAACGTTGGCAGCAAGCAATCCCCTCTTTACATGGGTGAGTGAATACATCATATGAATTTATAACCTCCTGTTTTAAAATTTAATTGTAGTATTGTTCTAAATTGCGTAGTTCATCAATAAGAGGGCGTAAGTTTGAATCGATACAAAAGCTCGATTACTGTCTCGATACATAAATTGTTATTTGTCGATTAAGATCGTTGTATTCTGTTGTTATCGTTTTGCGAGCAATAAATTTGGCGCATAAAAGTGTATAAATCATACCCACCGCCCACTGCGCCGCCTACGAGGTATTCTGCCGGACGCCCTCTGATGAGTTGCGTAATTAACAATCGTCTTAAATGCGCTTTTGTGTTAATGCATTTTTACATATCTTCATATATTACTGTAACCGCTATTCATGATTCAGTGAGCTGTTTATTATTCATTTTCATTCAGAAAGTAGTTAAGTGAACTGGCTTCTATGAAAATTGGTGTTTAATTTAAAATTAAAGTTAAATTGGATGTTATATAAAAAATTTCGACAAGTTACATTTCTTCTGGTAGAGAAACCTGGAAATTATATGGTTAAAAAGTTTTGTCTCGTGTTCGAGGTATAAAAAAAGATTGCGATAAAAACTGAACAATGATTGTTTAGGCGGTGAGTAAATGTTTATGAAACTAGTTGATTGCTTTTTGTTGTGTCTGCATTTTATCTAAAGCGTCTAAGAACTAGATCTGGGTCTACAGGTTGATAGAATAAGAGTTTACGAATAGTTTTTTTTTATAGTAACTGGTGGCGTTCTTTTTCCTCTGCCAACTACAATTATACTGAATCTATTAGAAAGTCCGCCTTCTATACCATAACTCATCTGTCCAATAAAATTATTTTAAAAAATAAACAAAAAATTATAAAAAGAACTAGCATAAAACGCTCGATTAAGTCCAGAACCTACCTGTGGTGTGTTCTGATTTTTGGAAGCTCAGACATACAAATAAATATTAAATTAAAATTGAACCCATTAAAAAATTTACTTTAATTGTGACACAAGCAGTTACTTTGATCTAAAAACTGAAGTACTAAACCGATTCTGATAAAATTTCTAATAATCTGTATTTGTTTTTAGATAAAATTAATTTTCCATCAGGTGGGCTTTTTGGCATATTAGATTGCGCATAAACAGCAAAAACACATGCATTGTTTCTATTTTAGAGGTTTTATTATGACTGGACAAATATTTATGTTACGGGCTAAGATTACATAAATGGAACACCGATCGTCAAAAATAGGTCAAAATTTATTTTGTAGTGTAGTCACTTCGGCTAACTAAATTTTGACACATATTTTTTTTAAACCAACACAAACCGATTGGAATCCATCTTTCTTTCTGATATAGTATAGATGTGCATATGTATATACATTGTTGCTAAATTAATACGCATTTTTAATAATTTTTACAACGAAAATATATTTTAAATCTATTCTCAAGTATAAATCAAGTGAAGTTGAATATCATTATGAATCTTTATGTACTGTTTATTTCGCTCTTTCAAATATATTTACAAATATTTTGTTTTATTTTTTGCGTACTTAGTAACAACAAAACGTTCCGGTATTTGGAATCTAGTACATTTTTATCTATATAAAAAAATTTACCTGTTACTGGTGAAGTTTAAGGACGCGTTGTATCTCATGGTAGACTTAAAAGCCTGTGAAGATGAGACAAAAAAAAAGGGATACCCAAATTTTGTCTCCACAAAAAATATATCTTGCAGCCGGTGACATTTTTTGGGTAGGCCATTGTGTTCGAGGGTTCAGTTGAGGGTTATAGTTATTTATTATTTCATATTCACGCTAGCGCTTGAGATGCTATTTCAGATAATTTAGAATGTCTGTAGTATGATCACCTTTAATTTACAATAAAAAACATTATTTCATTAAATCAGTATTCAGTCTTTATAGGCTTAATATAATAACAATCCTAGATGTGACTTTTGGGGTCGATTGTGAGGTATTATTCTTTAAGGTTATTTTTAAAATTACAATTTTAATTTGATAGTAAAACTATTACGGAGTCATCATCATTATCATATCAGTCATATACTGTCCACTGCCTTACCTTACCAGTAGTTGTCATGTTTAGCAGGCGGATTGGCATACGCAGTTAGGCTTTGATGATATTATAAGAGAGACGCTGCTAACCATCTCTTGACCTTGGGAAAGGGATTGTTAGTAATGAAGACTGGGAATCCCATTGCAAGCAATATACCGAACCAGGTCGACCTCCTCGCGGTTCCCCCTGGAAACTATCATGGTTAATTCCTGATGAATTCATCATGATGGGCTAACTGGCCTGTTTTCATTCTCATCTATTACCCTTCACTGGTGATTCAGTGGCCAGCGTATTCCTTTAGCGCAGGCGGGGTTACCATACCATTTACACCCATAAAAAAAAAACATCCCTTGACCATTAAGTTCGTTTAGCCTTAGTCGCTTAGCCTCTTACGACACCCACGGGAAAGAAAGTGGTTTATTCTATGCCGGGACTACACAGCAATTTTATATCGGAAATTAAATGTAAGTAAAATAGTTCTAGCGTAATTCTATCAAAAATTTTAATTTTAGAGATAGAAAAATCAGAGTCGACTATAATGTCTCTATCCATAGAGATTGTAAATTAGTTAAAAGTTTAATTATATCTTACGAATACAATGTGTCTTCATTTCATCAGTACTGCAGGCTGTCGTAAGACGCAACTAGGAACAAAGTACATCACTGCCAGAGAAGGAAAACTCAATACACCTAGACACTTGTAATATTACTCTAATATCCTGTTTTTATAGTATGAGTTCAGTGCCCAACAGTGGGTCATTTAGGTTTGATATTGATTATGTTTTAAAAAAAAATTACAAATACAAATGTTTTTATTGTGGATCATAGGTCAGGTTAAGGTTTTACATTAATTAAATAGTAGCTCTATGTCTTGTTATATAAGCGTACAATTAATGAAACATTTATAAATCAACTACATGTATTATTTAAAATTATATAGTGAAACAAAACAAATGAGAACTTTTCGACTAATGACGATTATTTATATTCATCATTAATATATTCATTTAAGCTATATTAACATTTATTAACATATTATGAAGGTTCTTTTTAAAAACACTTGTTTCAGTCAAATCTCGTATAGGTTTAGGTAATTTTTTTATAAATTATTGAAGCTTTATAAAATATGCCTACTTGCTTTCATAAGTTTTGTTTTGCATGGTAATACACTTTACTTAAAAATAAAATTTAATATAAGCTGAAATTAAAAGTATTTATATCAAAGTGCTACTAAAAGATTATTCGAAGAAGGTCGAAAACTTTATATCGGAAAAAATGCACAGAGTACAGAAAAAAATAAATTGCTACAATGTGGATTTAGATAAGGTATCTCAATCCTAATAACTGGGTTAAGGACATAGAGCATTAGTGCATGGAATTTACAAATGTCATGTGTTAATTTGTTTTCCAATTAATATAATTTATGTTAACTATTGTTGACCTAAATAGGCCTATAACGTTGTGTCCGTTTTACTGATTTGTCATTGCTCTGCGGACGCTCAGTACAGTTTCGCGGTATCTAATTTTGATTAGTACATGTCTATATATAGGTATAGTGTAGGAGTGTAGGTAATTATAGTACGTATTTGTACTGAAGCAACTGACGTGAATGTTATTTTTTCACAGCAATGTTTTTGTTTCGGTACTGAGTGTGTTGTATTTTTATATTACGCTAGCTATTTATCGCGACTTTGCTCACGTAAACTAGAACTTATCATAGGAAATTTCGGAAGAGAGATGAAATGGTAGATTTTAATTTCTAGTAAAAGCAAAAACATAGAATAGGCTCTTCCTTTTCCGTGTGTGTCGTAAGAGGCGACTAGGGGATTGCGAGGGATGGACAGCAGCGTTTCTCTTAATACATCTCCAAAGCCTAACTGCGGTTGCCATTATGCCTGGCAAGCGTGGAAACTACTGGCAAAACTCCCCAAGGGGGAGGCTTATATTCGGCAGTGGACAGTTAAAGGCTGTTATGATGATAGTCATATTATAAATCCAAGTAAATAGATGTCACAAAGTTGAACAGGATGTGATAAGGGCGAAAGTTATTTCGATAGTAACCACAAACAAGGAACGCGATAAGCAAATGAGTATTGTTTTTTTGAAACGCTGATTGTGAATCTTATTATTATTAATCGAAGGTTACAATTATTTACTTATGACTTCAAAAATGTGGTAATTCGCAATTCCGATATCTTTTTATTTTGTATAGTACGTAATATTGACGCCAACTCTGAAACTATTTAAATATTTCTTTTTTCTATCCTTAGTTTTTGCATTCCAATGTTGAATCTATATTAATTTGGTCACATTTGAAGTTATTGTTATCATTAGTCAGATTATTTGTCACTCTCAGAAGTGAAAATGGAAGCATGTAAAAATATCAGCAATATGAATATCTTCATTTATTATATGCGTATGGTTTCATGTAACTTATTTCAAGTGCAATGTGCGTAAGTGTCTCACAAATTGCACAGTAGGAGCAGGGTTCAGTGCATTGGATGCAATTGCTATTTTAGTATTTGTTGCAAGTGTGTCAGTGGGCCGGTCTGTCTCAGTGACAATTTCAGCTCATTGATGATATCACACAAACGGTCCTGTTCCTCTTACATTGCTCCAGTTTTGTCTTACGTCAAATCCTCTTCTTCGACAGCTTCAAAGGTTTATTGTTACATTAAAAAAATCACGATGGCGCTATTTGGTATGAAGGGTTTCTTGGTTGCACTTGTTGTATTTTAAAACCTCTGACGTGGTTTGTTAGCAAGCTAATAATAAATTACACAAAATTAAAAAAGTTTGGTTTGAGATTCGATCTTGATTTTCAGGATCGCAATTAAGGGTTGGAGATAGTACAATTTCATTATCTATTTATTTGTGATAGGACTAACGAGCGAATGTTAATTTTTTTTTATTCCTCCAATATTTTTCAGTACGCGCTAAGAGCA